CTTTTGACATCGCGGTTTTAGCGCCGCGGTGTTGTCGGCGCGCTTTTGACGTTTGCAGTTATGTCGTGCCACGGTCCCCCCCATAGATGAAAAATTGAGACATCAATTTGCCAAATACTATTTGGTCAGTTCAACACAACTTTAACCAACTTTAATCCTGTCCTCCTTCTGCTAAGCCCACCCGTAAGGAATGCATTTACATTGAATAAAAAAGCCTATCTGGAAATTGGTATTCATTTGATTGCTCTTCTGCTTCTTTTGCAGGGCATTGGGTCCACAATGGCCACAGCTTTGCCCAGAACCCTTGGTGAATTGCAGCTTTATCGCATCCTACAAAAAGCCAATCTCTTGTTCTACTTTGATGCCTTCATTCAGCAGGGAGGGGATGACGTTCAGCAGTTGTGTGAGGCAGGTGAAGAAGAGTTCCTTGAGATCATGGCCTTGGTTGGCATGGCTAGCAAACCTCTTCACGTCCGAAGGCTGCAGAAAGCTTTGAGAGACTGGGTCACAAATCCAGGCCTTTTTAACCAGCCTCTCACTTCCTTACCGGTCAGTAGCATTCCAATATATAAGCTACCGGAAGGATCACCAACTTGGCTGGGAATATCTTGCAATAGTTATGAACGGAATAATAGTACCCGGGAGCCTCATGTGAAGATTCCAAAATGTGCCGCCACAACCTGTGTTCAGAGTGTGAGCCCTGGCAAATCCGATGGAGTGGGGAATTTAGTGCCGCAAAACAGTAGCGAGCAGAGACTCTGGCAAGGACACCATGGAACCGAGAGCGAGCACAGCCTTTCCCCTGCTGACATTGGTTCTCCACCTTCACCAAAGGATAACACGGAAACTTTGGATGCAGCTGCGGCTCTGTCAGTCACCGAGTGTGTGGAACGCATGGTTTCCACTCTCCCCAAAAGTGACTTGAATGAAGTTAAAGAAATGCTGAAAATCAATAAAAAACTGGCTAAGATGGTTGGTCATATCTTTGAAATGAGTGATGAGGACCCTCACAAAGAAGAAGAGATTAGAAAGTACAGTGCAATATATGGGAGGTTTGACTCGAAGAGGAAAGACGGCAAACATCTCACCCTTCATGAGGTAAATTGGGGACTAATATTCTCTGCTAGCTTTTTTTCAAAATCTTNGGGCCCTTCGCTGTTCCCGGAAGTTACTTACTTCTGGGTTCGCCGACCAACCGGTTCGCGGGGACCGCCGTGAACCGGTTGAAACCCACCCCTGGCCTGAACCTAGAAAAGACAGAATAGCAACTCTACAATGCATGTGACCCTTGCAGTGCAATAGCCACAGTTATCATGAGGCCCACAACACACCTCTGTTGTATCTGCTGGACTCCCAAATTAGTAGAAATTAATCTTGAAGTAAGAGCTTATTTCAAATCCAGGCAGCCCTGATTTAATGTCTATTTATTCAGCACTGTAGTTTGGTCATCACAGTGTCCCCGTGATCATGGCCTGTGATTCTGATCTCGATGTGAGCTGTAGTCACATGACCATAATTTTCGGCACTCCCTGCTGGTTTCTCACAAGCAATATCCATGGGGAAGCCTGCAGAAACTTGGAAGTCCCAGTCACATGCAGTCCTTGCTTAACTAGGTGTGTGGTCCTCACTTCACTTTGACAACCAGAAACTCCTGGAACTGGCATTGCTAAGCAGTGTGATCACGTGACATTACAATTGCATTGCTTAGAATGGCAATTTCAGTCCCAGTTGCCATCACAAACCAAATACTACCTAAACATCAAATTTATGAGCTGAGCAAAAGTGGTTTGATTTTAAAAAAACAAAACACCACCACTCGCCATCTTTCAAAACCTTCATCTATTAATTAGCATGATTAGGGGCTGAGATCAGTTAGAGTTGAGCAGTCTGGCGTAGTGATTGAGATGACTGGTTTGGGACTTGGACAATACTTGAGCATGCTACTTCGCTAGATATGGTTGACTCAGTCAACCCTCTCAGCCAACCTATGTCAGAGCACTGTGAGTATGAAGCTAATTGAGAGGACTTTGAGTTCCAATAAGAAATGCAAGTTAGAATTGTAATTTTAAAAAAGGAATTAAATAAAGATGATATTTGGTTTACGCTCTGGATCAAATTTAGCATGGTGATATAGTTCGTCCTCAGGTTACGAACACAATTGAGCCCAAAATTTCTGTTGCTACATGAGGTATTTGTTAAGTAAGTTGTATCCTATAGTTAGTCCTCAGGTTACGAACACAATTGAGCCCAAAATTTCTGTTGCTACATGAGGTAT